ACAACAGAACAGAACAGAACAGAACAGAATCTATTATGGGGGCTGCTTGCTATAATTGCAGTAGATTGTGGCGTTCCTTCTTATAACTTATAACTGTAGCGCAATACGGGGTTCCTTACTGTAACCATAGTATAATAAGGGGTTCCTTGTTTTACTTATAGTATTACATACCCCAATGCCCTATTCTAGTCATGAAGGCCCCTATATTAGGGGGCAGCTTCAGAGTGAGGAGTTTAGGGTTCAAAGGCTTCGGTGTAGGGTTTGGGGATAAGCGTTTCGGAGTTCAGGGTTTACGATTCAGAGTTTAGGATTTAGGATTTCGGATCTTAGACGGTTTTGTCTTGCAAGGCGTCAGCCATGTGCCCGCAAGCGCCGAGGCCAAGGATGAGCGAAACCCTGCGAGTCAGGTTCGGACTGTTGGGCAGAAGCAGCAGCGCTTCACCGTGGAGGCGAGCTTGGCATGTCTTCAGGAGCTTGCTTTGCTTTATCGGGTTGCCACAACATGTTCTTCGGGATTCTTCGATTTCAGTCGTAGCTTAAGGCAAGTTAGGGATATGCCTTAAGCGAGCCTTCATATCATTGAAGGTCTACCCTCCCTTAATTTTCAGACGCCCCCTTGATCTTCAGGGGTTTTGGAATCTATGGACAGGCCTCTAGTTTTCAATTGCCGCGTTGAATATAACCGCCACGAATTCGGAAGCCATTGTAGACTTGCAGCTTGTTGAGCCCAAGACCCTAACTCCTACCTTAACCCCCAAGAACCTACCTTTTTATGGACTTATATCATGAAACTCTCATAAGGAGCCTTAAAAAGGTAGGTTATTTGGGGTCCAGGTACAACCTAAGCCGCAACATCTGAAGACAGCAGCCCCCCAAGCCTTGAGGTGGAGTTGTCCGAGATCGCTCAGCTTGCGCGGGACAGCCAGGAGCAGCGTTGAGGATTCAGGGTTTAGGGTTGAGGGTTGAGGGTTTGAGGGTTTTGGGGTTTAGGGTTGTGTGCTGGACGTGTGGCATTGAGGCTTCAACCCGAGGCTAGGAGTTGGCTTCTCGGGATGCTCTTTCTAAGCTTCCTGCGTCTCAAAGACCGAGACGTGCATTCAGTAGAGATCCTTGCAAAGCGGAATTCTTCCCCGAGGTTTTAGAGAATCCGCCGCTTCGGTTTGAGGCTTTACGGCTGCAGGATTTCAGGGTCTGGTTCGCGTTTGCTGGTGCTCTAGGGATTGGGGCTTTGACTTCATGGTTTAGCTCGTGGATGCGGGGATTCCGTGCTCAGAAACCTCAAAGGGCGGCGAACTGGATCTCGCTAGAAAGAAGGTCGCGCAGGAATCGTCGTGCACGGTTTAGGGTCACAAGCCTTCCAGCCGAAAGTGTCTAGCGCTAACCCCGAAGTATCTCGGTTCATCCCCAACCCTCATCTGTGCACCACTTTAGTCTCGAACCTTGTGCCCATAAGCATGGAAGGAGGCCACAGTGGAAGCGGCCAGTGCCGCTCGTGTCTACTTCATCCTCGTGCCGGCGAACGAGAAGTGCCGGGGCTGCCTCGGGCGATGTTTATGTAAGCCTCCCCCCGAGAGCAATTTGGGTTATGACCTCTGAAGCCTCAGACCAGTAACCCCGAACCCCTAAACCAAAACCTTAAATTCAGAGCCACCATGGAACAAAACCCGAGTGATTGTCAAGTCAGCAAATCTGCTTTCGAGTCGAGCCCGCCGAGTCGAAAACGCCACGGCCTCGTATCGAAAACCAGGGAGACCCTGAGTCGAAAACATCTGCCGGGTTCAGGGTTCAGGGTTTAGGGTTTAGGGTTTACGGTTTAGGGTTTAGGGTTGGGGTTTCTGACTCGCCAGCCCTGCTCTCCGACTCGTGCAGCCATCGTTTTCCGACTCAGGCCTCTCCACTTTCTGACTCGGTCCCCTAGGTTTTCTGAATTGGTCTCCACCGTTTTCGACTCCTTTTCTGACTCGGGCGTCACCCTCATGAGCTGCACCCCAATGCCCCAAACCCCCTCAGAGCTCTCACGGAGCCCCTATAAATCCTAAATCTTTTCTGAGAACTCTTGTAGACTCTGAAAGCCTAAACCCTAAACCCTGAAAGCCTCAATCCTAAACCCCAAGAGCCTGAAGCCTGACGCAACTGCCCTAAACCCTAAAAGCCTACACCCTGAAGATCCTAAGCTCTGAACCCAAGAAGCCCCAAAGAAGCCTAAGAACCCTAACTGCCCTAAGCCCTGAACCCCCAAACCCCATGCCCTAATTAAGCCCTAAACCCCAAAGATCCCAAGAACCCTAAACCCTGAACCCTAAACCCCTGTGTCTAGGGTTTAGGGTTTCGGCCTAAGAACCCTGAAGGCCCTAAAAGCCTTGAGCCCCACGGAGAAAGCTGCCCGAGGAAGAGCGTTCAGCTGCTTCAGGCTCTGCCAAGCTCTCCGCCGCTGCAGCTGGGCTCTTCTTTTAGGCTTCCTTTGAGGCTTCCTTCAAGGGTTCCTTCAAGGGTTCCTTTAAAGGGTTCCTTTAAAGGTTCCTTTAAGGGTTCTAGAAGGGTTTAGGATATAGGGTTAGGCTTCCTTTATGGGCTCCTTTAAAGGTACTACAAGGTAGTTTAAATTACCATAATGTAGGGCTCCTTTAAGGGTTTCTAAGAATGGTTCGGAATTTAGGGAGTCCATTGAAGTTACCAGCAAAACAGAAACCCTATTATTTGCGCGAGATCCCTATTCTACAAGCATTGAGGGTCTAGTGTTTAAGTTACCACGACAGGGATCTATAAGGGATGATATGGTTTCTTTGTTATGGTAACTTAAAGTAAGTTCCTTGACGAGAACCCAGGCAGGGGATGCGGCTGACCATGCCCCGGACCTTGAGGCGCATCGGGGCTCTTTTTGTTTCCTTCCGGTTTGGTGTTTAGGGTTTGGGTTGGGGTGCAGGTTCTGGAGTTTTATAAGGTGTTTTACGGCATAGGTCTGTTTGGCCGGCTTTCGGAGGTGTTCCGGTAGGAAGTTCAGATTGGGGTCACAGGCTTCCAGGTTCGTGCGCCGTCACTGCAGTCAGAAGTGGGGTTCTCAGCGCCCCAAGTTGAAGCCAGAATGCAAAAGGGTACTAAAAACATTGGTAACAGGGTCCCCCCCCATGTCCCATGTATTGGTACGAAGTCGTGTCCAACAGACTACCAGGCCCCTGTCTTACCCCCGGTGAACTCCAAGAACGGCACTGCAAAGCTGCCAGTGTTGCCCACTCGCAGCACTGCAATATGGCGCTGTGAACAGGTGACAATCTTTAATTCCATGGGTTCCAGATTCTTTGTATAGTATAGAAGCCCCCCCAAAATCCTAGTCTAATCATACAGGCTTCTCCCTGAAGACCAAGAGCCTGGACCGCGTAAGCTCAGCAAATCCCACGACGTTTTACAGTAGGGTTTAGGGCATAGTCTAAATCCCACCCCCAGGAGGGATAAAAGCCATTAAGACCCTAAGCCCAAAGCCCAAAGTAATCCTTGTGAAACCCTTCTCGAATCATCAAGGCGCATCAAGGCCCCTTTAATTCCCTGCAAGACTTTCGTGGAATCTACGGGACCTACAGCAACCCCTTTATCATGTCACTTTATACACAACAACGATTTTCTCGTTCTAGACGGTTCTGTATAGAAAATGAAAGCCCTAAACCCTAAAACCTAAACACTAAACCCTAAACCTTAACCCTAAGCCCTAAACCCTAGACCCTAGACCCTAAACCCTAAACCCTAAACCCTAGACCCTAACCCTAAACCCTACCCCTCTTCGTATGCAAAGGCAGCAGCAGCGAGCAGTCGAGCAACGGCCGCTGGCGACACGTGAGCAGGTCTGGAGCTATTGAGTTTTTTTCTTTTCAAATTTGATGTTGTCTTAGGTTTTGTGTCTCTGTAAGGGTTTTATAGGGTATTTACAAGATTTTGTCTGACATGTTTTTTTTTGAGGATTTTGAGGGTGTTTGTCAGGCCTCTAATTCGTTTTATAGGGCTTTATACGAAGGGTTTGCCTGGAAGGGTTGTTTTCGGGTTTCATAAGATTAGCAGGTCGGCGTGCGGCTGGGTTTTTTGTTTTGTTTGAAATAAGCTTTTTTTTAGGGTTTGATTTTGTTTTCGAGGGCATTGCATGGGTTTCGTAGGGTATGAGTATGAGAGGAGGGCTTTATAGCGTCTTACGAAGGTGTTTATAGGGTTTGTGGGCTTATGGGGGTTTATAGCTTTGCTGTAGGGCTATCAGAACGGTTTCTGTCGGGTTTTGTCTGACTTGGGCAAAGGTCCATATAGATAGATAGATAGATAGATAGATAGATAGATAGGTAGATAGGCAGATAGGTAGATAGACGGATAGATTGATGGATAGATAGATACTGAACCCAAGGCTTGAGCCCTTGGGCATTAGTCGGCTGTTGGGTAACAAGTTATGTTTTGGAAGGGCCTTGGTTTTGGGATTGAAGGTGCGCTGGAGGATTTCAAGGTAGATGGTTTCGACGACGGTTCGCGACACCCTCACCCAACCTTCGATCCGCTCACCACCCCTCTTTTTTTGTGTTGGGAGATGGATTTACAAGGGACGGGGCCTTTCATTACATTTCCGGGATCCAAATTTCCGCGCGTCGTTCTGAGAAGCAGCACTGACAGTAAGCAAGGGCGCCCAACCCCTGTAAACTAAGCCTCAAACTTTCGACTTGCTGCCCTAAGCCTTAAACCATTAACCCTAAACCGCCATGTCGCACATGTCGAAACCAGATTGGCAACTTCAACATTTTCGGCCGGTTCATGTTAAGGAAGGCATTTTTGTAAATTTGTCTTTTGGGTGGTGAATAGAAGTCCAACAATTCTGCAAAGCGGTTTTCGGCAAGAAGTTTGATTGGCGTTTTCGTGGCTTCCCAATTGGTGCGGCGCATCTTTTGGGATCAAGTCCCATTATGTGCACAGTCCCGATCGGGCCCCGTCTTCCGAGGACGTGTGATTCATAGTAAATTCCAAGGGAAATGCCGAAAGCCCTCGTACGGCCCCGCCGGACAAGGCTGCTTGCAAAGCGCTTGAAATGCTTCAAATCCCAGCATTCAGACCGCACTTTTGGTTTCGGTCCTTCTGTGTGGTCTATATCCCGCCAGACAAACCGGGCACTTCAAAATGCACCCTAAACCCTAAACCCTAAACCCTAAACCCTAAACCCTAAACCCGGTGGCCATGTCCGCGTTTCGAGGCTCTTGGGGGAGCTTCATGGTCCGGCGGTGGTGTGGTGTTCCCCAGAGAGCCCCATACCCCTTAATTAAGGAATATACCTAAAATCATAATATTAAGGCCCCTATAATGTAAGGTATATTCCTTAATTAAGGGGTATTGGGTTCTCTGGGTCATGGTGGTTTCGCTCGTCGAGGTGTCACCGTGATGGTCCTGGTCGTCATCGTGGTCCGCATGGTCCTGGTGGTCCTGGTCGTTTTGGTCGGAGTGCTGGTCCTTGTCGCCGTGGTGGTCTTCGGGGTTCCCATCTGCGCTGGCATGATTTAAGCTACCGCAGTAAGAGAAGCAAATCTTGTCTCATTTACGTAACGTTCATTGACACGAGCAGAACCATTTTGTCATCATTCCGACCGAGCTGGTTGTTCTTTATAGCATTCGCATAAGAGTTGGGTTTTAGCGGTTGACGGGTTGAGTTCGGGTTCGGGGGATATTGGAGGGTACAAGCATCTTTGTTCTTTGGGCGGAGTTTGGGTTAACGCCTTTCGGAATGGCACAACGCTGGTAACGCATGTGCGGGCAGAGATCATTAAGCACGGCGTGCGCAGTTTCGCGTGAACTAGGCAAGCCAGGCATTCAGGACAGTCATTATGCATAAATGCAACGTTCGTCTCCTGCAAACATGCGCAAGTGCCTGCCTCCTGTACAAACGCCCTCAAGGTGTTTGGAGCTGTGCGCGATTCTGCAAGCAAAGTGCGCCGGCACATCATAAGGGGATTTCAAAGCGGTGTGTTTGCAGGCGAGGGTGTTCATACATCCGGCTACTTTGCAAATTTACAGCCTTTGGCTGGCTTCGTGAGGCTCGACGTTTGTTGTACTTCGGACCCGGTTCTGCGAGGTGTCCTGTGGTCTCTTCAGTAGGTTCTTGATGTTGCCGAAGTGGTGAGCTGTCTAACTACAGAAACAGTTCAGCAATGGTAAACTGTAGAGCCATCAGTCCTGGCATAGAAGATATTCACAACAACCAGTCGGAAGATGTATCCGCAATGACTCCCCATGATGCTTGTGCCTTGGTATGTATGTATGTATGTATGTATGTATGTATGTATGTATGTATGTATGTATGTATGTATGTATGTATGTATGTATGTATGTATGTATGTGTGTGTGTGTGTATGTGTATGTGTGTGCTTTCCCGTGCATGAGTACATGCATGCTTACATCGTTATGTAGATATAAATATACTTGCCCGTGCGCGTGGACACTTCAACATCATCGAATCCTGCATGCCAAGACCGCGAACCTTGTCTACCCTTAAACCCTGAGCCCTAAACACCGGACCTGTGAATTAAAAACTCCGACCCTTGAACCCCTAAAAGCCTCGCCGCTAGATCCTCTACCTCAGCCCTCAAAACCGTCCAGCCCTTGAGTCCTAAACCTTTAGCCCCAGACCCCGAACCGCTTAAAATACCTAAAACCTGAATCCCATAAAGCCCTAAACCCTAGACCTTAAACACTGAAACCTCTTGAATTCCTACATCCTCATGCCGTAAAGCTTTAGACCCTTAAAAGCCCTAAGCCTCTAAGCCTTAAGCCCTAGATGCTAAAGATCTTACAGCTCTGAATGCCCGAAAATGCAATTCCTAACGCCCTAAACGCTGGCCCCTGAACCCGTAAAGCCTTAAAACATCCATAAGACCCTTAGCCTAAACCCTAAACCGTAAAGTCTTCGCTAACAGCCGTCACCACGGAGCCCGAAGTGGCCGAGCTTCGCGAGTGGCAGAACGCGTACACGGAGCCTAGGTAAAGCTTGGCGACTGGCATTGCACCTCCCATGGAGTGGTATAAAGGAGAGACCCGAAAGCCGATGGTTTTTGCAGTGACATCCGTGCGACAAGGGTTTGACCCCCAACCCTTTACGATTTGGAGCCGGCCCCTTCTTGACAAGGGTTGGAACCCCTTCGCGAGTTGAAGCAGCCTGTCCTCTTGACAACGGTTGGACCGCCCAACCTGCCTTCTTGACAAAAGTTGCACCTCCCGGCCCTTCAAGAGTTGGAGCCGGCCCATATCGGGGTTTCCCCCGTCTGGACGATTCCCGCCAGCGCAGCCTCACAGAAAGCCCACTGCTTCTTCCGGCACCCATCAGGATAGCCTTGCGGAAAGCCCGCGTGAGAACCCGTCAGCACGGCCTCACAGAAAACCCAACCCCGAAAGAGACAGACTCGCAGAAAACTCACATGCATTGCTGCTTGTCTCTCACAATTCCCGCCAGCACGCCTGATAGAAAACCCGGCACCCGGCAGCCTCAGAAAGCCCAACCCAGAAAGGGACAGACTCACAGACAGCCCACATGCATTGCTGCTTGCGATTCTGCCTGGGCCCCGTTGAAGATAACGACCATCGTCGGCGATGCCATAGCCCCCGCTGGGATGCCTAGACGACTCCAGAACTAAACCTTAAAATGCTTGAACTTCGGGTGGTCTTGGGGTGGGCTGTCTGCTACTCACAAGTGCGACTGCTTGGGTGTGCACACACCAGCGAGTACCCATGACGTTACCACACCTTACACCCTAAACCCTTAAACCCTGAACCCTGAGCCCTAGAGGTGCAGAATGGCAGTAACCTCAACGAACGGCAGACGGCGGCTTTGCAGCCTTCCAACTGCAAACAGCAGCCGCTCGGGGGTTTTGCCTGTGACTCTACGGGGTTTTTGTGAAGGGTTCCTCTACGGGGGTCCATCAGGGTTTTGCAAGGGTTTCTAGAGTTTAGAGGTTTTCGGGCTGGGTTCCCGCTTTTTAAGGATGCTAGAGGCTTGTCGGATTATTGTTTACGGCTTCGGGTTTCGGGGTAAGCTTCCTAGCGAAGACTGTAAGGGAATCTGGCGTCTCTTGGTTCAGGGCCTTGCAAAGCTAGTATGAGCTTTTTTTGCCAGGCTTTTGGAAGGCTTCGAATAAAAGTTTGCATTAGGGCTATAGTAGGTTTTACGGGTTTCAGGGCTTAGGGGTTTCTGGATATGGGTTCAATTACCCTACACCCCCCAAACTTCGCCAGCATCTCTGAACCCTTACCCTAAACCTTGGAAGCCCGAAACCCCCAAATATGTAAGGCTTTGGGGGCCTTGGCGCATTTTTGGGCTTCAGGGATCCCGGTGCATCGCCTCAAGAGCCCACGTATATCAACAAATATTTAAGGGTTAAGGGTTTAGGTGGGTTTAGGGTTTAGGATTGGTGCTGAATCACTTTGAAATCCACTTGGATCCAATTGCTTCATTATAAATACTTCTATATTTGCAGATAGAAAAAGCAGCATCTAATGCTTGTTGCTTCATTAGCGGCCTTTCCCTAAACCCTAAACCTTGAACCCTAAACTCGAAACCCAAAACCCTAAGCCTTAAACCCTAAACCCTAAACCCCTAAACCTTAAACCCTGAACCCTGAACCCTGAACCCTAAGCATAAACCCTAAACCCTAAACCCTTAATTTAGAGTCAGCCGGTGCGTCCGCGGGTTCCAAGGCGTGGGCTCCAGCGCCCCTTCTCCATGGTCCAGGCGTCGGCTCGAGAGTTCAGGTTGAATGCACGTTTAGGGTTTTACTTATAGGGTTTAGGAGGGTTTACTTAGGACTTACTTAGGGTTTGATTAGGGTTTAGTTAGGGTTTACTTGGGGTTTAGGTCGGGCTTCGATGAGGCTTAGTTAGCATTTAGTTAGGGCTTAGTTGAGGCGGTGTTAGGGTGTAGTTTTAGGGTTTAGGGGCATGTGCAAGCAGTCACGGCGGACGATCTGGGCGAGATGCATGCAGGGTTTAGGGGTTTAGGGCTTTGGGGTTATGGGCTTGGAAGAAGGGGTTTAGGTTTCGGGGTTGAGAGTCGAGGTTTGACGCAGACCCCGCTTATTCACCCTAAGGTCTGCAATCTGGGGTTTAAAGTACTGGCTTAAGATTTAGGGCCAGGGGTTAGCATCAAAGAACCAAATGCTTGAAGCGCGTATAAACGGATCTCGTAAGTATGCAAAGCTGGATTGTAGTTGGTTGGGGTTTAGAGTTACTGTTTGCAGGTTGGGTTTTTAGGAGTTAGGGCATCTCTAGGATGTAGGGGCTCTTATCCAGAGGCTCCGTATCACAGAGCTCGAAGACTTACTTGCTGTGAAAGACACTCTCAAGACCTGTTCTGAGGGTCCTCCCGGCACGGGAAAGACCTCCTTCCTGGTGCACCTCAGCGACGACGTGGGGGGTGTCTTAGTATTTGGGGTCCTTGCATTTGCCTAAACCCTAAAAGAAAGCCCTAAACCCTAAACACCAATCCCTAAACCCTAAACCCTAAAGACTAGTCCCTGAACCCTTAACCCTAAACCCTATTCATTAATTTGGATCTCCATGAGGTCCCTCATTTAAGGGGTCGGCCTTCTATCCTTGAAGTTTAGAGCCGAATCCGCGAGCCTGCGTGCGAAGCGGTTTAGGGTCCCAGGCTTTGGGGTTGAGGCGGTGTGCACTTTTTGGTTTGAGGTTCAAGTGTAGGGCTTAGGGGTTTGGGTTTTGGGGTGTAGAGTTTTGGGATGCAAGTTGCAGTGGGTCGCAGGCTGTAGGTGTCCAGTTACAATGACGGAAGGATCTCCAACGGAACCTGAATTTGGAACAGCCCCTTGCTAATAGCAGACCCAGCATGTGAACTGGATAACCACCGGTGGCGTCCTCGTGGCGGTGGTGGTGGTGTTTGCGGGAGACAGGGCGACAGCAGTAGTGAAAGCTTGAATCACAGTGACAAGCCCAATAATGGTGCTGCAAGGAAGAAGGACCCGGTAGGAAATCCATCGGACTTCAGAAAGTATCCGAAGCCTCGATTCCCGAACCCAGGCAATTCATTGTGGCTGCACTCTCAGTACGCAGTCCATGGGCCAGACCAGATCTAGGCAGGATCCTGGCTTCTTGGCTCCCAGGCATTTTGCAGCATTTTGTCTTTGTGGCTGGGTTTGTAGCAATCGTCAGCCTTAGCTAAGTGGAGCTGAACTTTCTTTTGTAGTTTTAGTTTCCTTGCTGAAAGGTCTGCTTGCAGCTGGTGGCTAGGTTGGGATTCTCGCTCAATTTGCAGCAGCTTCTTGAGTTCATCAGTCCCTGGAAAAGACACGCTTGTGGTCTTACGTTGAGGAGTTCTGGGTAGGACAGGCCCTAAACCTCGGGGAGTCTCGGTGTCCCGCGGATATAGGCACGGAAGTAGAAGCGCAAAAGAAAAGGTATCAATTCGGATTAAAATCCACGTTGAATCTGAAATTCTAGCAAGATTCTTAGCAAAAGCAAAAAGAGCCGTAACGGCCCTGAGCCCTGACTCATAACCCTCAGCCTTAAACCCCAAACCCTGCATCCGAAACATTAAACCGACGTCCAAGCTGGAGTAATACAGGGGCCTTAAGAATTAGAAGAGGGTTTTGGGGCCTCTTGTACTACAATTATCATAAGGAGCCCCCAAGATAGTATAGGTAACTATTTGGGCCCCGCAGGTTTAGGGTTTAGGGTTTAGGGTCTGCAGGAAACGAAGGTATCACTGGGATTGACGTGCTTGTTTAGCTGAAGGGGGGCCAGATGCACCCCGAGCCCTCAATATCAGGGCAGAGACCACGGGCCCAAACCCAATTGGAAAGCCGAACTCCTCCTTTGGCAGAGAAGAGCCAGGTGAGAGTCTTGAATCAGAGCAAGATCGTCATCACCACCTGCGCGAATGCCTATCTCCACACGGCTCTGATGCAAGGGGACCCGCTTTTAGCCGCGGAAGTGTTGACACCTGAAGCCGTATGTACTGAGTTGGTTTTCCCGGAGTCTGTTCAGCTACGTGTCAAAATATGTGTCACGGCAGCTTGCTGTCTTTGGTAAGCATGGCACTCCAACCAACCTAGGTAGTCTTCTAGTCAACGGCTCCTCTTCGGCAGACTTCGAAGAACAACAGTGGCACAAGAGAGCCCTGGCATCTAGCTGCTCCCACATTCTTAAAAGTGCAAGCAGCGTCTGGCTTCAGAATCCCTGCCGTGCAACCCAGAAGAAGATCGGATGTCGTCATCAACGGTAGCTCCAGAGGATGTTGCTGAGCAGCATGGGGGATGAGCTGCATATCCTGCGCAGAATCGTTACCGTAGATTCGCTGCGAAGCATCGGAAAGCACTCCGTGTTCTTTCGTCCTCTACCCCACAGACCTTTACACTTATGGCACCAGGTCTTGTTGGTTCATCTTTGGCAGGATCCGCCGAAGATTCTTCGGCCCGTGAAGTTTGACACCATCGTCGTGGACGAGGCAGCCCAGGCTCCTGAGCCCGACGTGGTGCTGCCCTCCACCTGTGCCACGACCCGGGTGGTGGTGGTAGGCGGACGCTGTGCGTATCGGGTTGAGGGTTGGGAGGTCCAACTGCAAGAGTTCGAAACCTAAAAATCCCAAACCGAAATACCGACAACGTCTGGGGGCTGGTGCTACATACAGGTGTGTGCCTTTGATGGGGGTCCGGGACTTCGGGCTGTCCCATCGCAGGTGACCACAAGCAGCTTGGCCCGGTGGTGCCCGAGCGGAATTTGTGTGCGCCTTACGTCAGCGTCCTGGAGACGCCCTTCCTGGAGCGGATGCTCAAAAATCCACGGCGATGGGAGGCAACATGTCCTGTCGCTACAGTCAAGAGTTAGAGAGCCTAAACCCTAAACCCGGTATTGGATGGTGGTCAGGAGTTAGAGAGCGATTTGTAGGAGGTCTTTCCGCAGCAGGGACTCAGAAAGCAGGTAGAGCATTAGTGGGCAGCACCAACACGATGCTAGTGCGTCCACCACAAAGCATGGCACAAAGCCATGCTTTGTTTGTGAGGCCAGCACGATGCTGAACATGCAGTACCGCATGCACCCGTCGATTCGGAGCTTCCCATCGTCGCAATTCTACGACTCCAAGCTTGAGGACAGTGTCTCCATCCCTCATCGCCCTGAGCTGCCTCCTGGCGGACATCCAAAGTCTAGCCAGGGTTGAAGGTTCAAGAGGTTCACCCAACGACAGGTCCCAAGTAATTTCACTCCACTAGTACAACCAAGCATGAACAAAGATGAATAGTAATATTACTGTTAACATTAAGGAACCGCATTTGGCCACATGAGAACGAGCACCGCCGCTTCATCGATTGCCAGACTCCACAGTCTTTGGGCCTATCACCCGAGCTCAACCGTGCCTGCGACGCTGCCCTCATGGAGAACAAGACATCCCTCAAGAACGCGCCCTGAGCCGTGCTGGAAGGGTCCTCTTCTCTACTTCTCGATGGTTGGGCTCGGGTTCCGGGCTTTAGACCCCTAAACCCTAAACCCTTACCCTAAACCCTAACCCTAAACCCTAAACCCCTAAACCCTAAACCCAAACCCCTAAGCCCTCCTCGCAACCGACTTTGGCCCAGGTCGGAGAGGCCAAGGCTTGCGTGGCGCTCTGCTCCCTCCTCCTGCAGGGCCGTTGCTCGGCGAAGGACATCGCCATCATCACTCCCTACCGATCCTAGGTCTGTTTAGCTTTGGGTTCAGGGTTTAGGGTTCAGGGTTTAGGGTTTAGGGTTTAAGGTTTAGAGTTCAGGGTTCAGGGTTTAGGGTTTCGAGTTTAGGGTACCTATACCATCAGGGCTACTTCCTAATCCTAACTCACTACCGAGCCGTACACGCCCTTTAGACTTTTTTGTTTTTTCGGGTTCTGTTCGTTTAAAAAGGGCGCCCGGAGTTGTGTTTTGCAGAAAGCCTTGAGAAACTTAGGAGCGCAACAGTACGAGATCCGGGGAAGACTCCAGCGAGACATCGGTGAAGGCAGAGCATTTAGGGTTTATCGTTTAGTGTTTAGGGTTCAGGGTTTAGCGTTCAGGGTTTAGGGTTTAGGGTTCAGGGCTTTAGGGTTTAGGGTTCAGGGTTTAGGGTTCAGGGTTTAGGGTTTAGGGTTTAGGGTATGGTCTTGAAAGATG